GATTAAGATTAATTTGGCTATCCAATATCACTTACATATAAAAATAGTTCAACTTACAAATCTTTATTTGGTGGCTTTGTGACATTTATCTTCAGAATAGGAATACTAGTATTTTTCATTTAAGAGATTGTCAAAGTGGCTAATAAATAATTCAAAATATAGATTACCAATGTAACTTGAAATCTTGCAACTGAAAAACCTAGCCAAGTATGCATTTGTTATTATTGGACCTGCAAATTATGGTTGGAATGAAGATGGTACTTACTATATCGATAATTATACTGCAAGCAACGTTAGTAAATGCAGTGAAGGATGATTTAAAAATACAAACTAATAGGCTTACGATCTCAGCATTTTTGAATCATATTATTGCCCAGATGATCTTGATTTCATTCTTTCTGGAACATCTGCATCAGCAAGTATTTGGTATTATTAAATTGCAATTGAGAGGTGTGGGAGTGCAAGAGACAAAAGAAATATTACATGCTCAAACAAAGATGAAATTGAACGAGCTCTTGATTAATTAGAACTTCAAATAGTACTAATAAATTAAATCCCAAATATAAATGATTTTTCAGATAATCCTATTCAAAACTACATTAAACTAATCTATGGCTAGTGCTCATCATTATCGTCGTAATCATATGATATGAAGATCAGTTAAAACTATATGGTATCTAGTGATTCATGGCTCTCAAATGTATTTGCCTAATAAAATCATTCCTATCAATCGGTGAGAGAGGATCATTACTATGCTGGCAGAAATTAGTGGCCGTAACCTTTGTCTTTCTATTTTTATTTTGATGATGTTGCAGGTACCACAATAAGGACAACGTATTCTTTAGCAGATGCATTTGTAAGCACTGGAGGATTGCTAGGAATAATAGAAGTATTAATCATTGTAATCATAAGTGGAATTCAATAAAAACTATTTGAGTAATCAATAATCTAACAGATATTTTAGATAAATTAACAATATGGATTAGAGAGAATGCCAAAAGGATAATAAAAAATTAAGAAGAATTAAACTATCAATTTAGAGTAGAATTAAAAGTCGAAAATTAATGATGATTCAGTATTTAAAGCAATCCATAATGATATTAAGAATAGGATAAGCTTTTGAGTGAGTTTATTTGAACGATTTAAGGCTAGTTTACCCTGCTTAAAGAAAAGATTATCTTTATTTCATTAACAGAGAAAACGCTTATTTGATAGTGCAAGAAAAAAGCTAATTAAAAAATTTGAGATTATTGATATTTTTAAAAATATATAAAAGTCTTAACTTCTCTATAAAGTTGTATTAAAAAAATATCAAAGAGATTTGACTCCTTATTTTAAGGAAAATTTGATTCAACTTGATTAAATGAATGAAAGAGTGGAAGATTAAAAAGAAATGTTTTCCTTAGCAGATAATGATACATAATTGTGGATGTAATTGTCAAAATTTAAAAGGCAATAGTATAAGTTGTTTATAAAGTAGATAGTGCTTGCTGCATAAGAAAAGGAAATTGACAAAAGATTACTGAAGAATTTAACACACTCATAAAAACGTAGTAAAAATTAAAATGACAACGTAGAACTTATTCGACAAAATATTGCATAGAATTTGGATTAACGTTTGGATAATTCTGCTGTTTTACAATCTCACTCGACCAATTAAACTGATAGTTTTGATGCACACAATCTAATGAATCTCTCAGAATAAGATTATCATTGGAATAGAAATATGTCTAAAATAAACAATATTTCAATAAGGAACATTAAAATTGCCAGGTAAGGTAAAAGATATTGAAAATATTTTTAATTTTGAAATTTGATAATTTGAGTTTTTTGCTGTAATTTGTTTGCAGGGGTTTTGGGGTTTTGGGG